GGGCTGCTGCTGCTCCTGCCGCCGCCGCTGCCGCCTGGCGCCTCCTTGGACCACGCAGAGCGCCGCGCACCGATTCCACTTCTCCAAGAGCTCTAGCCCCGCGCGCGGACGGGATGCACTCCTCTTACACCTGAGCCCCACTTCTCGCGGCCGGCCCGGGGAGCTCTCGCGAGAGCTCGCGGCCCCTCCACGCTGACAGTCATCAGCTGTCTTCGTCTGTCTGACGCGCGCTCTCCAACTCGGCAGCGCCGTGCGACTGCGCGCGCCCGCGCTCGCCGGGCACCGACCGGCGCGTGGGAGCCGCTCTTATAGTGACCACCGGCTTGGACAGCGCAGGTGTTGCACCTGTAGCTGACCGGGCATGCGCACTGCACACCTCACCTTTCCCTCCTCGGGTCTGAAAAGATCAAAAGGGCCAGCTATTGTCTGAGGGTAAGCACCTTTTAAGGAGAGAAAGGCTAGAGGTTCGCCCGCAGCCCGAGGTTTCCCCTCTTCTCCCAACCCCCGCCCCAGCGCAAGTCCTGAATATATGCGCATTACTTAGGCACACCTCCTCTCCGGGATGTCTAACAAGCTGTTATATAATGTATACAGCTGGGCATTTGTATGTTAAATTATGCCCCCGCATTCCTCTGTATACAGTATAAACAACAACACAGAAATGCAGAAGGTGCTGTCTTTTGCTGCAAAAACCTGTTTCTTTCAAGGTTTATAAATAGGTTCCTGGAGAATAATCGCGGTGACAGACATTTGTTTGAAGCAGTCAGGCGCTATTGATTTCCATATAATTTAATTTCCTCCGCATACTTTGTTGTTGTTTTTGTGAATATAACTGTGTCAGGCACCAACAGTGACAGCCACTTAGGAGCCACAAGGAGCGTGTGCTTTCTACTCGGGAATGGCTGTTGAAATGAAATTGTGCGTTTCTCTTATTGTTTGTCTCCTTTAACTGTGTACAAACCCACATTTCAAACGAGCTCCGGGTGATCTGAGGCTTCTAGTAAACAAAAGGAAAAATAGTTAACAGGGTGTAGTTGGGATCCTTTCCACTCCTCAGCATGCACACACACGCACACACACACACACACGCTTTAGCCTGGAAACTCCAGGAAAAGGAAATCGCTTCAGAGAAAAGGGAGTAAGATGTTGAAAAGAGAACTTTCTTTTCCTTACAATGTTTTGGCTTCTTTGCCATATATATTTTTTCCCTCAATAGGAGACAGGATTAAGCCAGTTTATAGAAAAACATGATTAAAATATTAATTCAAACCAATTTGAAAGAACGGGCCCAAGCTCTGGTCCGGCTTTTACAGTATTTATTTTTGTTACTGTAAAATCAAAACCTAAGAAGAAGAAGAAATGAATTACCCGACCTATAATATAAGGCCCTTAGGGGGTGGGAAGATCAAGGGCTTCCCCGGGGACCACAGTTCAGGTGCCGGACTCCCCAGGGAGCAGCCCTAGTCTGTGTGATAATAACAGCCCAGATGTTATTACATCTGGGGCGAGAGAGCTGGAGAGCGGCAAAGGGCTGCTTATGGGAGGCAGAGATCATATAAATAATTTTTCTGGTCTCTCCCACGCCAAAGAGATCTGTATTTCCACTAATGAGCAGATCTCATTTCTATAAACCTAAATTTGCGTTCGCGTTGATTTTATCTTTTCTTTGTACGATAGTCTGTGTATTTAGCATACCCACTCACTATTCAAATTCCAAGAGGAGCCCACAGGCGTCACCAAGGCTTTTTCTTTTCTTTTATTTTCTAACATCCCCCTC